CTCTTCGTCGTCGTCGTCGTCGTCGTCGTCGTCGGCTACCACTTCGGAACCGACTACTGCTCCTACTTCTGAGCCCACCGCTGGGCCCACCACTGAGCCTACCACCGCTCCCACCTCTGAGCCCACCACTCAACCCACGTCGGCTCCCACTTCGGAACCCACCACTCAACCCACGTCTGCTCCTACTTCGGAACCCACCACTCAACCCACGTCGGCTCCCACTTCGGAACCCACCACTCAACCCACTTCGGAACCCACCACTGCTCCCACTTCTGAGCCCACCACTGCTCCTACTTCCGAACCCACCACTGCTCCCACTTCCGAACCCACCACTGCTCCTACTTCCGAACCCACCAACGGTCCTTCCTCGGAACCCACTACCGCTCCTACTTCGGAACCCACTACTGCCCCCACTTCCGAGCCCACCACTTCGGGCCCTGAACCCACTTCCAACGGCGAGTACCCCTGTACCGACACCGTCTGGATCACCGAGACCGCTGACCCCGTCACCGAAACCGTCTACGTTTAAGACAACGTCATAAGCTCTGCCCCCTACGATATGACGACTGTTGTATCTTGAGGGCTCCCCTCTCTTCAGTTCTCTTTATTTTTGGATTTTTTTAGCCATACCCTTTATAATATTTCCGGTTATTTAGCGTTTTTCAGTATAACAGCCATTATAATCTCGTTTGTGTAAGCCATATCCCAATTAAGCGAACCATCATCTCGTTTCGGGTGCAGCAACATTAGCAGGTGCGTCAAATTCGCAATGAGAAAAAAATATCTCTAAAGGGGAAGCTCGAATATTCTCTTCGATTCCGCGCACTCTCAATTTCCATTAAATTCTTTACGGTTCGATTCGCGATAACGATAAAAGTCGCATTTTTCTTCAACGCGATTCTTCCTTGCTGCAAACACTCCAGCTACAACTTCCCTCACACCCATTATACCAATTTTACCCCCACACACATCGCCCACCACACCATGAATCGACGACTCAAAAACGTCAGCGTCTCGGTCCCAATAGTCTACGGCAATAGCGCCGTCAAACTCACACCGGAGATGAGGAAACCCAACACCCCGCCCGACCATACTCACGAATGGACGGTGTTCTTCAAGCCTGTGGTTGACGACGTCGACTTGACGCCATTGATTAAACGGGTCACGTTTAAGCTTCACGAGACCTACGACAGCCCCGTGCGGCTGATTGAAAAGCCCCCTTACCAAGTGACCGAAACTGGTTGGGGTGAGTTTGAGATCATCATCAAGATCCATTTCCACCTGGGCCCCGACTTAGGCCTCAACGAAAAGAATTTCCAGATATTCCACGGGCTCAAATTACACCCCTACAATCCGCAGACGGATCACAGCAACGCCCTGAATACTACGGTGGCGGCCAACGGCGACGTCCACCTGGTGCTCTACGATGAGCTCGTATTCTCCGAACCCACGGAGCTTACTTTTGAGTACTTGACGAAATACCCAGTGAACATGCTTCCCTATAAGCTTTCGGACCCGGACAAGCGAGACCAAGAGTATATTCGCAGCGACGAGACCGACGAGTTGGCTCGGCTTGATGTTTACTTGGAGAAGATCAAGCACGAAATCGAGCGCCAGCGCAACGAGTACCAGGAGTTGGAACAGGAAAAGTTTGCCCTTATACAGTGAGATGACGAGAAAATTGTACAGTAATTGTAATATATGCTACGCTACGTGAGTCTGTTTTGGCTAGGGTAAATCTAGTGTAGGCTAAATACATATACCTTAAGAAGAATATTGTTTCTCGAATCGAACAGCCAACATCATCGATTGCTGATCTAATATGAAATTTGCTCTTACATTTCGTGATAACGAGGTAAATGTAGATGACGTTATTTCTATGATTTACTCTGAGATTTGAATAGATGCAATTGTAACGATATTTTAGCTTAATTACTCAACTAGAATGGACTTTTGTAAGTCTCATTTTTTCTTCTACGTTGAAATAACGAGTTAACCGTATGGTAAATGGCTTTCATTCACGAAACCTAAGAGTATAATATTGGCCAAGTTATGAATCAATACAACACTCTCAATAAAGTGACGGTTGTGCTATGAGTTGTATAATAACGAAAAAGTTTATTGTGTTCTAAATCATATATGTTCGCGAACGATGGACGTCACCGTATTATGCTCACCAAATAAAATGAAAGGCTAAACCCTCACAGTTAATCCTCATTCTGTATTCATTAACCCGTCTATTACAATTGCCAGTCGATCCCCTTCGCCTTCAATTCAAGCGCCTTTTGCTGCTTGCGCTCGGCGTGCTTGTGCTCCAACTTCTCCACCTTGTGTGCCGGGCGCTTGCCGTCGTGCTTCTTCTGGCTCTTCTCCCGCATCGGCACCGCCACGTGGTGGTATTTTTGCGGGCGGGTGAACAAGTCGTCGACCTTGTCCGTCACGAAAGCCACTTGGAGCTGGTGGCCAAACAACAAGTAGTTGTTCATCGTTTCCTGGGCGACGACGGCAGTGTCGTAGTCAGCAAACTCGATGAACCCGAAGTGCTTCAGCTTACCCAGCTTGTTGCGGGCGACACACACGTTGACGATGTCGCCGAACTGGGCGAAGTACTTCTTCATTTCCTTTTCGTAGAACCCGTGGGGGATGCGGCCGATGTAGAGGATGCCACGCTTGGCGCCGGTCTTCTTCTTCTTGTCGCTGGCGCCTATTATCGCCTTGTTCACCGAGTGGCCCAGGGCGGCAGCCACGGCGGCATCGTCGAGCCCCAGCACCGCATCGGCGCCGTCGTCGTCGCTCAGGTCGTCGTCGCTCAGGTCGTCCAGCTCCAGCAGCGACGCGATCTCGATCTCGGGTTTGAGTTCGGCGACGGGGTCCGTCTGTTGGGTCTCCTTCTTCGCCATTATCTGTGTATAGGGATCAGGAGCGGGGGGCGCGATGAGATGAGCTGCGCAGGCGCGGTGCGAAGAGACTACCCTGAGGAGAGGTAAGGGTAAAAGAGAATAGACGACGAGAGAATGAGAGGATATTGCACAGATTATCAAGTAGAGAAAATAGATTTGATGAGAGATTTGTGAGAGAGGATGAAAGCAGCAGAGACTTGAGTTTGGGAACAGATGAGAGGATAGAGGTGAAAAAGAGAAGTAATAAGAGATTGAAAACAATCAGCGGGTCACATCGAGAAAAGCAGTGATCGCTTTCAACTAAGTGTCCCTACCTCATGAAGATCGTTCCCCTCCGAAGTGGACACCAATTCGAAATCAATGAGTTTTGTACCAAAGGAAAATCGTCGAAAGTAGAGAAATTTTGGATTATCCAAAAAATTTCAGTACTGGGGTCGGGGAATATATATACCTGAATTGTCCCGGCAGTGTTTCAGGTAATGTCTCAGGCACACGTTCCGAAAGTCAGGTCTAGCTATATCCATGAGCATGAACAGAACGCGATCTCATGGGTCACGTGACCGCGCGGCTTAATATGTCGACGTCAACAAAACATTATCGTCACTCTTAAACAACTCAAAGTTTTACCCGCTCCCTCCACGCCTACCGAAAGTTACCAATCTAACTAATCTGATTGAAGTGCCCTTATTGGGGACGGTAACGATGGCGTTCGCTAGCGTTGGAGCCTCGGACTACCATGGCTACAAGTTTTTGGACGTGATGTGCCTGACGACGATGCTGGACGAATACAAGCTCAGATACCTCAATCGCTTACTTGAAAAGTTTCAAATCAATCCGCCTAACTCACGAGGCATCTCCGGTTACCTCCGGGGGCTTGTGAAGGTGTTTGAGTTGAACTTATCGCTCGCCCATAAAATGGCGGCGTTAGACCTTGTGCCCTATCTTGTCAAAGATGGACCGGCTAGTAGCCTTCAATCGAGATTGAAGTTACGTCTTATCACCCAGATTGCACAACAAAGAGGTCCTGTCGTTCGTGGAGCCGCCGAGGTATTGGCGACCCTCTGGGATGACGGCATTCGCGAGTGTAAGATGGTGTTGATGGACGAAACACTCGAAGTGTCGGCGTACATTGCTAATGCGCTTTTGCCGCGTATTTTGGATGGGACCTTGATAGTGGCGCTGGGCGCCACTACCACCCGCGTCGGCCACATTTTGACGGTGGCCCTGACTTTGACTCAGCTGACCCCGGCGGAATTGTTGGAGCAACACGGTGGCAAGTTAGTCCATGCGGAGAAGGAAGCCATTCAAGAGGTATTGCCTTTGTGTGTGGCGGCAACGGCACAACCCAACGTTCCTCTTAACACCAACGAGTCAGCGGAATCAGCTGGTGCTTCTACGGAACAATCTTCCTCATCAGTGGCTCCTCCGAATGCTCCAGGCTATAATTTTGGCGCCGTCTTGGCCGTGCCGTTTGGTGATCCCGGTTATCGGTTCGGAGCCGTGCCATCGCCTTTGGACTCTACCCCACGCCAAGTAGCCAATGATGAAAGCAATGTGGAAGCGTCGCCTCCCAATCCGTCTAATCCCGCTGGTGAAGGCGAAGATTGCGCCCAGGGTCTCAAGAGAAGTGCGTCAACGGGGGATCTTACCCAACGCAAGGTTAAGCGGGCCCTCGACCGAGTTGGCGGCGTCCTTCGAGACTTCCAGAACCGTGTCCACACGGAAAACTTCAAGTACTACATGATGGACCGCCCCCCAGCGAGCTCTGATACCCCTACTGTGGAATCGACTAGTGCCCCGCCAGAGGCAGAACCATCCACGTAGTCCACGAGAATAACGAGAATAACGAGAATAACGAGAATAACGAGAATAACGAGAATAACGAGAAATAATGAGAAAGAACGAGAATAATGAGACAAGAGTAACGATAATAATGAAAAGATCATACCATGTTATCTTAACGTAAAATTAATGTCATCTACATTAACTCTCATCCATTGAACATCTCTAAATAGACCTCGAGGTAACCTCCGCAGACCAGACGGAGAATTAAGTGGCTTACTATGTTTAGAAGACTTCCACATAGGGATAAGATATTCTCAGCTGGTTGAAGCTGACAATTCCAGTTTCGATTGTCTACAACAACTCTTCAGAGTTAACTATATGAGAACAGAATGATCAGGATTTTTGGGTCAAAGTTCACTTATTCAACATGTTAGCTGAGATACTTATGTAGTAATTGGTAGGGGAACCCAAATATTGGTAGCCGCTTTCACTAGCAATCTCTACCACAAAAGCTCGATCTCAAAATGGTTACCGACTTAGCCTTAACACTATCGCTCATTGAGAAATCAAGTTCCCTGCGTGGGCCGTCTCTTCGTGTGCCATAGGCGTAATATAAGCTTCGATAAGAAAGAAATGAATACTACAACTGCCGCCACAAGAAAATCGCTGAAACATTATTATCGACCTAAATTAACATGAAACTTCTCCACATATAGAAAAATAAAATGCACTTGGCACTATCTCTGGTTATCCTCTTCAAGGGATGCGAATTTGTGGAACGCAACCTTTTTCGCTCTCCACAAATACTCCGCCAATGTGTCGTGTAAGTCCTCATAATGTTCATAAACCCACTGAGCAATTTCCCGCTCACCATCACCAACATGAGCACGTAACAAGCCACCAAATCCAGAGCACACTTCATCTTCATCACCACGAGTAAAGTAGTCAGACCCGATTTTTATCAATACCAGGTTGTTGAAATCATAATATTCATGCTTAGTCATGAGTTCCTTGACTTCTTCCGGGTACTTGAACCAGAAAGCGGCCATAATATTTACCGCGTTAGGATCGACTAAGTAATGTGTTTCCTCTTGCATCGTAGAAAGAAGTCCAAGCCAAAAGGAATCGTCAGGGCCGTCGTCGCCGTAGTCGTTGTAGTCGTAGTACTCACCAAAATAGCCAATTTTATGGCGTGGCACAAGTAGCACCAACAATTGAAGCAATCTCACTTTAAGTGTGTTTGATTTCGTGGTCCGAAACCCTGTGATAATGCCAGCGATGTATTGGGGAAACTTCTTACGAGGAGGGCGATTGTGTGCCATGACAAACACCAAACGCTGGCACGCCGCGAGCTTCCCCTCTTCCTGGTCGGGGTCAGTCAGATCCATCACTTGTAGGAACTCGTCGGCTGGAAAGGTTTCATTAGCAAGTTGATCCATTGTCGGGTTTTGAAAGAATGAATCTAGAAGTGGGGTGTTTTATAAGACGGTTTACTTGAGAATGACCGCTGCAAGCTGCATACTCCGGCACCCGGTGATCTTTAATACGACGATGGCTCCAACCTAAAACGATGATTTCTGTGAAAATTAGGTGATAGAATTGGACAAAAGTGGCACAGTAGGAAACTTATACCCATTGGGATGGATTTTGCTTCATTTCACGGACTGAAAGTGCAAATTTTGTGTCAAATGAAGTGGTAAGTAGCACCGTATTGCCAAAGCGCGGCTGCAGAAGATCGATGACGCCAATATCATTCCGTAAACGCTATACGAAGGAAACGTTCAGTGCAATTAGTTAGCAGAATAACCATGTCAATGTCGTATTAAAAGCTGATTGTATCAGCTACGTTGGAGATTTAGTCGACGTCGAGAAGCCATTGTGGTTATTCATGCTCCATAATCATCTGCTAGTATTCCTGTTTACAGAGTTAAAGATTTAAGAGATGTGTCACGTTTGAACTCAATCAGGCTTAGGTCTATGCTATGTTGAAAATCTTGCTGAAGGATGGGATAGGAGGTGGTAGCAGTGTACTAGAACTACGGTAGTTCAAGCCACGAGCCGGCTGGACACTACACATAGTAGCTTTTACTTGACTTACACAGATGGATTGAAAATAACCAGTCCCTGTTAAATTGTTTGTCTACCCCTGTCACCGTAAGTTTTATAAATCTCCATTAAATTGTTGGTCTACGCCCGTCACTGTGCGAACGCATTGTTTGCACTCGAGAAACGCGCTACGCGCTTTTCTCATACTCCTTCCCAGTTGACGACGCCAGGGGACATACAGTTATCCGGTATGAGCTGGCGAACCAAAAAGACGAGAGAATGACGAGGGGAAATTTTACTCTTCATTAACACCGGCGAAGTTACCATGACCCACTCGCCAATGGGTGACGCCCCGGCGGATAAGCGTTTTCGGCGCTCTAACGATGATGCTATTGACAACCATGCCCAGACACAGGAGGGTGCTCCCCTTGAAACGCCCACCACGGAAAAAGCTCCTCCACCGCCACCCTTTGCCAAACTAGAGGATCTTCCCCTTGAACTACACCAGATTATTGTCTCCCAAATCGACGACGCCTCGGTGTGTCGCTTGTACGCTGCCTATAGCGAGCGTTGTTTTGAGGGAATGGAGAAGTCGATCAAAGCCGTGATCGAAGACCGGCTCAAGAAGATTACGGTGTACGTGTCGCCAGAAAAACTGGCTAAATGTGACACCACCATCATCGACTTTGAGACGTTGGCGTTACTTCCGCCATGGTGCGACGTCCACATCAAAACCCTGGTGGTCTTTTGGGAGCTCGTCAAGATTTACCTTTGGCAGTTGGAGTTTGCGCTGTTGATGTTTGCGCTGGTGTCAATAACGATATACGGTGGACAGTTCGAGAGAAGTTCTGTCAATTTTGAGGGCCTTGAAGGAAATGTGGTTGCGGTGCACCTCGTGGATCTCTATAACATCAACACCAGTGATATCCCTAAACTGACTTTGAAACTCTCCTTCACTCGTTGCTCTTTAAATGACGTGGTCGATCTCACCCACTTATCTAAGCTCACCCACGTGTATTACCAGGCTCCCAAACAGATTCTCAACGTGTTACCCAGATTGGAACTTCGTTTACTAAGGCTGGTCAACTCCCTTAGTGTTCACAATATTGACGCGAGAATATCATTGCCTTTGCCGAAGCTTCGACACTACACTGGTAGTTTCTCTGTCAACATTCCTTGGAACACGCTCAAAACGGTTGTTGTCGACCACATCCCCAATGGCACACGCTGTTACCTGTTAGAGGAAGTTACAATCACTGAATGGCGCACGGAGACAAACTTCAAGACCATTAGTTGCCCCAATCTTCGCTGTGTTACGCTTACCCCCGTTCCCCATTTTTTGGATGCCCCACAAACTCGTATTACCGACGTTTTCACCCATGACCAACTCAAGCGGCTAAAGACATTCAAGGGAAATCACGTTTTCCTTGACGACTTGACACTGTTGGAGCAGGTCGAGGTTTTGTACGTAATTTACGACCACACCCTCACCGAAGACACACCGTTGTCGCCTCATCTCGTCGAATTAAAGATTATCTCCAATTCGCCGGTAGAGGGTATCCCTGGCCAGCTTACGGCGTTTGAGTATGTCGGTCAATATTTTGAATTTAGGGATATATCGATCACTTCGACTACACTCAAGCGATTGCTGCTCGAACGTGCAGGCAAGTCAACGGTCAACTGTCCCCACCTTGAAGAGTTGGCGTTGAAATACATCGAGGGATTTGTCGACCTCAACACTTCTAAGGTACGTAGCTTGAGTTTGGAGCATGCCGAGGTCAGCTTTAAAGAATTCCCCAGCCTCCGTCAGTTGTACGTAAATGGGGGATACGATGGATTGGAACCGGCGTTTGAATCATGGGCGTTTGAATTATCGGTTGGGATGGAAAAGAACCAGCACCTCGAGTCTGTCACTTTAGAAGGCGTGCTATTGGGCGGAGTGTCGATCAAAGCGGACAATGTTTCTTTAATAGGATGCCTTTTTGCGGGAGTACCCTTCATCGAGGCAAGAAGTGTGCAATTCATTACCACCAAAAAAGGCAAGGGAGCCAAGTTACGCGTGCGTGATGATTCCATAAATGACAGCATCAATTGTGAGGAGTTAACTTGCAACGTTATCCGGCAGGTCCCCAGAACTGTGGAAAAAGTAAGCTCGCATTGGCACAAATTGGACCACTGTTACCTTTTTTATGATTGTAACAAGCTAACGTCGTGTTTCATTGAATGTGCTAACAGTGTCAGTTGTCAGCCTGAAACCCCGTTTGTAATCCCCACGTCGGTCGTACAGCTCGTGTTTCCCGATTTGAAATTCAGATTCGAGGGCCTGGACATCTCGCAGGCGCCAGCGAAGCTCGAGTTCTATCATCGGGTGATTAAGGATGCGCCTATCAACCCCCCGCCAAATGAAATCGTTAACGAGTTTGTGCAAATCGGGCCCAACACATGGTGTCGCCCTGATACGTTGCAATTACGGGGACCCTTTAGTGTCTAGCCTGAAGCTCTAATCCGATTTGACATTAAGCATGTTGTACTTTTTGTGTACAATGATTGAATCTAATGAGTGTTTCGTTGAATATTGATATTGTAGTCACAGTTTAAAGAATCACGAAGTGCAAACCACTCGCTTGTAACGCCTAGTGCCATCTCTACGATCACTACCTGGCTAATCTATCAATTACAACCTTAGCGTAATCATCAACCGGTAACTTTAATATTGCCATAGTACTCCGTATTGGCTACTAACTTGAGACATCTTAGCCAGCCGAAAACAAATTCGACTAAATCAATCATTAATTACGACGCACGTTTAACCTCCGAGTTTTACCCCTAGTTGTTGGCAATCTTGGTTTTTAGCGATGATGTCATCGCTGCTTCATCGTGCTTGCGCGGTCTCGGACCGGTGTGACAGCAATCGCCAAAAAATCAGACTCGGTCCGAGGCCGCGGAGCTCAACACCATCAAACCTCACTAAATTTTTATAAGGATCAATTTATCTTAAACCACCATTGAAGCCTTTCAGTAACATCAATTCTTAGCAATGTAATTTTAGACGACCTGCCTTGGTTTGCTTGCTGGTACCAGCGCGTTTCTCACAGCCTCACCCCTCTCAATCGACAACAACCCCCCAATGGAACCGCCAAAGCTTCTTATCGGTGGCGCCGTGTTCAACTACCAGTACACTGATACTCCCGAAGCCACTCCCGTGGCGGAAATTCTCGACAAGGCGTTGGCAAACCCGTTAACCGCGGGCATCGACACCTCACCTTACTATGGTCCTTCAGAACAGCTCATTGGCGACGCCCTCCGCCAGCTAAACCGCGACCGTCTGACTTACTTCCTCGCTACTAAGGCCGGGAGAATTGCCCTCGACGACTTTGACTATTCCGCCGCCGCCATCCGGGCGCTGGTGCTCCGCTCGTGCCAGCGGCTTAACACCGACTACTTTGACGTTATCTACTTGCACGATGTCGAGTTTGTCGACGATGCTGGCGTTGACGAAGCCATTGGCGAGTTATTTGAGCTTAAAGCCGCCGGGTACATCCGCAATGTCGGCATTCTGGGGTACCCGGTGCCGCTATTGGTGGAGATCTGCCAGCGATGGCACGCCAAGGGGAAGCTGATCGATGCCGTCCAGCTGTACTGCAATGGGTGCATTCAAAACACCACGCTTTTTGATTTAGTGCCCAAATTTAAGGAGGCAGGGGTGAAATATGTGTTCAACAGTCTGATCCTTTCCATGAGTCTTTTGCGCCGCCAGCCGACACACAAGTTCCATCCTGCCAGCACCCAAATGAAGCAACGCATTGACGACGTTGCCCAAAAGCTCTACACTGAAAACCAGCAGGAACTTGCCGACGTGGCTACTCGCTACGCTCTTTCGCGGTCGTTTGCCGACGACAGCGGCATCGACGCCGTCAATTTAGGGGTGCTGCTGGTGGCGGAGCTCGACAATGCTATCGCCGAGTACCAGCGTCGCCGGGATGACCCCGAAGTGTACGCTAAAGTGCAACTGTGGATTGGCGACCAGATGAATGTCACGTGGGATAGCGGGCGCGTCCGGGGCCGGGGATAAATGCGCGGTGGTTGTTTTTTTTTATAGTGGAGTGCGGCTTGGAACGAAAAAACCGGCACCGCCGTGCCCCGGTCTCGGGTACGCCTCCGGTGGCGACCACGAAGCCAACCTCCGTCCGATAAGCGAAAATAGCCATTAGTACTACTAAATAATATAAACTAAACATGTTGGCATTTTTAGTTATTCAATTTCTAGCGTTGCTTACCTCTAACTCGAATCTCCGGGGGGTGAAAGTCGGACCGAGAGCGACTCTTCGCACGTGAACATATAAAGCACCCCCACACCCCGGCCATCACCCGTCCCCAGACCATCAATACACCATGACGCTGTGGTCCGAACACCAGCAGCGGTGGCATGAGAAAAAGCGACGGTTCAAAGAAAACCCCACCGTCGTCACCATCCGCAAAAACAAGGTCTACAAGGCCATTCTGTGGGTGTACCACTTCCTCCTCGACAACTGGTTCTTTTGCTTGCTCGGGGTGTTTGTGGGGCTTGCCTACAAGTATCCTCAGTTTGCCAAGCAAGGGGGGATGGTCCGGGCCGAGTACCTGATCGGCTACGGCGCGGTGGCGGTGATCTTCCTCATTTCCGGCCTTTCGATGCTGCTGCGAGACTTGCTCAAAAACGCCCTTAACTGGCGGGCCCACTTCATCGTGCTCACCCTGCTGTTTCTCATCACCTCGCTGATCATTTACGGCATTTGTCTGGGCATCAAATCCGCCCACAACCATAATATCGACTCGTGGGTGCTTGTGGGGATGATCGTCACCCACGCCTGTCCCACCACCGTTTCCTCAAATGTGGTGATGACGAAACAGGCCAAAGGCAACGACGTTTTAACCCTTTGTGAGGTGTTTATCGGCAACATCTTAGGGGCATTCATCACCCCGGCATTGCTTCAAATGTACATGACTGGCGGCTGGGAGTTCGGTAACCCCCAGCACCAAGTGACGGGGACGGAACCGATATCCAAGCTTTACGGGGATACCATGCAGCAGCTTGGGTCAGCGGTGTTTGCCCCCACCTTCGTCGGCCAAGTGGTCCAGAACATATTCCCTAAACAAACGAAATGGTGCCTCACCACGTTCAAATTGCTGAAAGTGGGGCTGTTTATGTTGTTGTTAATCATGTTCCAGTCGTTCCTGACCGCGTTTGCCCAGAACGCGTTCGAAAGCGTGTCCCACGCCCTGATCATCTTCTTGGTGTTTTTCAACATCGGCATCTACTTGTTCTTCACCGTTTTGTGCTTTTTCTACGCCCGTCCCCGATGGATTCTCTGGATATTCAACCACGAACCTACCGAAGAAGACCTGAAACTCTACAAGTGGGGCTACCGCCTCTTGCGTCCATTCTACTGGAACAAGCGCGACACGGTGGCCATCCTCCTCTGCGGACCGGCCAAGACGGCCGCTTTAGGGGTGTCGTTGGTGTCGTCGCAGTACGGGCTGCAGAACCCCAAATTGGGTATTCTTTTGGTGCCGTTGGTGTTGTATCAGGCCGAGCAGGTTCTCACGGCCCAGATACTCACTAAGTTCATGAAGCGGTGGATCATGGCCGACGAAAAGAAACAACCCGATGACGAAGAGGCCCATTTGCGTGATGACCCTCCCGAAGTCCTCACTGGTGACGTCCCCGTGCTTCCTGAGGACGTCACTATCCCTTCATCGTCGTCGTCGTCGACCGCGTCCATACGTGACCATGACCAAGCCCTGAGTGGCGAGAAGCACTCGCATTGACTGTTTGCATTGACTGTACTATACCATATTTAGATTTAATAGACTTAGACGAATTCATTAAGTACGCACTTGTGTAGCAAACATCCGTACCGCAAAAACAGCCGATAATTGCGGTGGAAACAGTTCTTGTATTTAGTTGTTGGCTGTATGTTGATTGGAAATCAGCTATGGTTTCAGGGCCATTATGCAAGTCACCGTTTCCTCAAAGGGGCGTCGACATTATCGTGTTGAACTTTTCTAAGCGCTATAAGCTATTTGAAAGCGCGAAAACTTGAATTGAAGTCGGCGTCTTTCTGGGTGCCTGGTGGTAGTCGTGATTTAATATAATAACTAAGGCGACGTATCTTGTAGCCCAGAGTTGGTAAATTTGTTACCCAACTTCTAGAAAGGAAGTTAAAGATTAAATCTTGCACAGTGACGCCAGTTGAGGGAGTGATATAGCGTCATCAATAAATGAAGAAATGACATATTAACATCCAACCTACCCTAGTAGGCTTCTTCACCACCAGCGATTCTGACGAGCATTCATTTTGACGAGATGACGAGAGATTTTAAGCGGAGAGTCACTGTACAATGATATTGAGTGTGCTTGAAGAAATCGTGTGCAAACTTGTCCATGGTGAAAGAGTCTGAAAATCACACAATTGCTCTTGTTACTTCATCCATTAATGTTCTTCTCTACAAGGTAGCGCCTCATGTACACCCGTTTAGCCACTATCTTTTGGATTTAAGTGTGCCCCACATCGTTGACTAATACCAAAATAGACAAAGTCAAAGTCAATGCTATACCGTGCTAAGGAAATTTGTATAGTCTTATCCGTTTGTGGCTGATTGCAAGCCCTATCTCACAATTAGTTTCCCC